AGGGAAGGGAAGGGAAAAAAAGACAGAAAGAGAAAAGCAAAGTGTTCATGGATGCATCTCTGGCATGGGTCGTGGCCCCGTGAAAAAGAGGGCGCACACTGCTATAACACAGCACTTGGAAGGAAGCAGAAACAAGAAGAAGAAGAAGAAGAAGAAGAAGAAGAAGAAGAGAAGAAGCAAAGAGGACTCACTCAGGTCTCACTAGCCCTGCCTGTTACCTGTACGTCGCGTGTTTGCCTACCCGCGTCACGATCAGCATCCTATTTGCATAGCGCCGATGAAGCTGCTACCGTTGCGCTCGTTTTCCTACCATCGTATCATCCTTCCTTTGGGTGTGTTAGCTGCTCAGTTGAAAACCCAGTAGACTCGACCTTTGTCCGCGATGATTAGGACAATACGGCGTTCAAGATGATCCAAGTCCAGCGATGATCGGTGAAAGGAAAGGGTGGACGCAAAACTGGAAGACTTTTGCACTTTTGTAAATTATTTTCAGTGATGTTCGCTATCATGCTAATGAAACAGTGTACTAATCGTCGAAAGAAATTGTCCGATGAGGAGTTCTCCAAGTCTTTCTATTATCTATCATTTTCTACTTCAATAATTCGAGGATCAATAGAGTTCCATTATATAGCGTTATAAATTATATTTGTGATCCGTGGACTGGGAAACGAAGCCACGTGCCCTGCTCTTTGCTTAAAAACAGAATTACCTTAAAAAGTTCGAAACACACACTCCTACTCGTATGAAACACTCGCTTCACACGGTCAGTCATCAGATTAAAAATCCAGTTTACAGCGAATTGAATTATTTCCAGAGATTGCAGAGGGCTCCGAACGGGAAACAGGCGAAAGAAATCGACTCTGAAGGAAAGAAACTCGTGTCAGAAACAGGCGCGAGTGTTTCTAAATTCAATTAAAACGGCTCGCAGCAAAGGGAACAATGGCAGAGTGCAAGGAGAGCTTCCGAACTCCGTTTCTCACGCGGCTCGTTCGTTTCTCGCATAAAGCGGGGGCCGAACGGTGTACACGGGCGCGGTATCGGTTCTGAGAATGGCTTATCAGCCCGCGGATATGTTAATGGCGGCCGTGTTTGCCCCCATCTGCCCTCCACCATCGGCCAACACAACCACCACCACCGTCTTCTTTTCGAGATATATTACACCCTCAACGAAGCCGGAGGTGGTGGTTGGTGGTGGTTGTAGTAGGTGGTTGTAGGCGAGCAAGGTGCAGCAGCCCTCTCGATCGGCCGTTGAACGTTTGCATGCACGTGCAATTAAGAATGGTCGAGGCCAGTAACGAGAATGAAAGGCAGATAGTAGGCGGCCGAACGAGCGTTCGAGCGAGTTTAATAGTTCACGTCGTGGGACATTGTTCGTGCTTGATAGAGTCGTTTCGAGAGAGAGAAGATACCAAAGATGCAATTTATTGAGCTTGATCATTCACTTCCTCGATAGTTGGACGGACGATAGTTTTCAACTCTGGTCATCTTGTTTGGATATTTTTATAAATTCCTCCTCTTTTAACAGCCTAAAGATTTTATGCATTTCGATCGAATATATATATATATATATATATATATATATACAGTCCTGAAACAATAAGAAGGAATAACAGAAGCATTTCACAATTTCGATCAACTGCGAAGCTCGCGCGTAAACGCGAGACGAGCGTGTCGCGCGCTGCCAGGTAGCTTGTACGCGCGTGCAATTAAGAATGCTGAAACTCGCTCGCCCCCTTTGCTTTGCTTGTGGAACGACGACAAGCTGCTGCGGAGTGGAAGAAATAAGGGACTCGAATGAAGGCAGATAGCATTAGGAAAAGGGGAGAGGTGATGCTCTGGCGAGAGAGTCGGCCCGATCCATCGATGACCGCTTATTTACAGTGAGGCAGAATGAACACGACCGAGCTGTAAGATGCGAGCCGTGGATAGGCTAGAAGTTCGCTGCAACCCTTTGCAGCCCAATCTACCTCAGTATCTCGCCTGCTCTCGGTTACTCTCGCTCGCCTCCTCGAACGAGAAGGCAATTAAAGCATCCGGGTAATTCGACGGGCGATACGCGTGTCGTCTCGATTTCGAGGACAACCCACCTGGACCGTGTGTGCGCTCCGTTTTTGCCGCTCAGGCTGGATATCCGCGCGAGAGATACGAGATGATCCGAGGCTCGATTGCTCTGTCGCGAGGCTGTCGTTCCACTGCTTGGCAACAGGATTCCCTGCGAAAAGCGATGTAGATGGGCTCGATTTCCGCTCGGTTAATTCGATCAAATACAATGTTTCGTAAATCTTCAGAGTCAACATTTCAGATCGAGGTTCACTTTATTACCCAAGTCGAGACTGATGCTCGAGAAAAATCTGTGATATAGTCAGTTTTGCGCGATACTGCTGTTGTGGAAGTAAACTCTAATCCTTCTTCCTTTTGTAGATATCATAAATAGATATTATATTTTGTAATAGATGACAGTTTCAAAATTATATTTCACGAATAAACAACACTTCAATAGAAATCCAAGCATCTTCAAATGTGGTTCTGTCCGAAGGAATGTAATAATACCACGCCTAGAAATAAATAGCATATTGTAATTATAATAATATAATAATATAATATATTATATTATAATATATTATTATATTATAATTATCAAATATAATAGAAAATAGGTCTAATATTTTTGGATCCTCGGTTAAATTATTTAAAACAGACGCTTTTATCCCACGAGTTTCAGAATACTTCCAAACTATTGGTGTGTTTTTTACTTTCTGCCAAATCCATGATTGACGCGTCGTACCTTCCTCTTCACTACTCTCATCTATAATCATACGCTTTAGACGTTTTCTTGTTGGCGCAAGCACGTCACTATCACTGGATTCGTTATCACTGCTTTCATTTAAAACTAACATTCAATTACGACCGCCATGTTCACGAGCCTGGCTCGTCATATTCATGTTTGGGCCAAAATCTTCATCACGAGTCAGACTCGTTGAAGCACGGGAATGGGTTAACATAGCAATTAGACTAGTATTACTCTTGCAATTCGGTACCGCGGCTAGATGTGTTGATTCAGGTAGAAAATACCTAACGTTTGATCCAAGATACAGATGTTCCCACAAAAACTAATACACTCGGTTGAAAACAAATCCGGAATTCCACGCTCTGCGAAAGAGAGCTCTGCCCGCAAACTAATTCCCCCCCAGATCGAGAACTAAAGTTCCACCTTTAATCTATCCAGAGTGTACATTTCCGCGCCAGAGACTCACCTGCGGTCTAAATTGCGGAAGAAAGTGTTTGCCAAGCATGAAAGAGCGTGTGTGCGTGGCGGGATGCGGCGGATGGGGCAAATAAGCCGCAACCACCAACCCCCATGGTGTCGAGATTATTCGAGATTTCGACGCGAGGGCAGCCCCTTTTCGGCGTGCAAGCGAATTCGTCGAACGAATGGTGGGGATGTAGCAGAGGCGTGCGAAGGGTGGCATGCAGCGAGTGGGGTGGCCTGGTAGAGGGATAGATAGACGGAATAGAGAGAGAGAGAGAGAGAGAGAGAGAGAGAGAG